AAAATAAGGACCTTCATTTCTTCCTTTCTAGTCTGTTGCCTTTTCTTTTCTTGTTTATTCCACTAGCTGGAACGCCCGCCCAGCACAAGGCTGACACAGAGAAATGAGCACAGAAGTCCATGCCTCATTATTGATCTTGGGGTAGACACCAGTCCTTCACCACTAGAGAGGATGTTGGCTGTAGAGATTCTGTCAATGCTTTTAATGAAATTTCTGTCTATTCCTAGTCTGCTGAGAGTTTTTATCATAAATGAATGTTGAATTTTGTCAAGTGTTTTTTCTGCATCAGCTGGTATGATCACAGGATTTTTCTTCTTTGGCTTGTTAATGTGGGGTTTTACACTGATTGATTTTTTAATATCGAACCAGCTCCGCATCTCTAGAATATATCCCCCTTGGTCATGGTGTTTAATGCTTTTTATACATTGTTGGGTTCAATTTGTCAATAGTTGCTTAAGGAATTTTGTGTCTATATTTGTGAGGGATTTGGTCTGTAGTTGTTTTTGTTTCTTGCGCTGGCTTTGGTTTTGGTGAAGGGCATGCTGGTCTCATAAATCAGGTGGGGAAGTCCCCTTCTATTTTCCAAATGATACAGTACACAATTTGTGCTACTTCATTACCTGTTTGGTAGAATTCTCCAGTGAAACCATCAGGGCCTGAAGGGTTTTTTTGTTGTTGGGAGACCTTACATTATAAATTCAGTTTCCTTAATAGTTATAGGGCGATTCAAATTCTCTATTTCAAATGGGACAAGGTGTGTTTTTTGAGGAAGTGGCCAATTTCATCTAAGTTGTTGAGTTTACGTGCATAAAGTTGTGTGTGGCATTTCCTCTTTATGTCTGAAGGGTCTGTAGTAATATCTCATTTTATCCTTAATTTGGTTATTTATGTCTATTCTCTTGCTATAGATTTGTCAATTTTATTGACTTTTCAAAGAACCAGCTCTTTCACTGATTTTCCCTTTTGCTTTTGTTTTTAATTTCATTGATTTCTGATCTTAGCTTTTATTTCTTCCTTCTGCTTGCTTTCCCTGCCTCCTTTTCTAAATTTTCCAAGTGGAAACTGAGATTATTAATTTAAGACTCTCTCTCTTTTCTGATACATGCATTTGGAACTATAAATTCTTTTTTTTAAGTTTATTTATTTATTTTTGAGAGAGACAGAGACAGCTTGAGTGGGGGAGGGGCAGAGAGAAAGGAAGAGACTCTCCAGAAGGCTCTGTGCTGTCAGCATGGAGCTCAACATGGTGCTCGAACCCATGAAACCACGAGATCATGACCTGAGCTGAAAGCAAGAGTCAGATGCTTAACCGACTGAGACACCCAGGAGCCCCTAAATTCTCCTTTTAACACTGCATTAGCTGCATCCCACGAATTTTGATGTTCTGTTTTTGTCTTCATCAGTCCTACGTTTTTTAAATTTCCCTCAAGACTTCCTTTTGACTTAGGAATTCTTTGAAATGTGATTTAGTTTTCACATGTTTGAGGATTCTCCTGTTATCTTTGTGTTATTTGTTTCTAGTTTGATTGTATCATGGTTGGAGGACACACTGCATGGTTTCAATTCTCTTAACTTTGTGGAGCTTTGTTTAATGGCTCAGGATATGCTCTATTCTGGTATATGTTCCAAGATCACTTAAAAAGAAAGTGTATTCTGTTGTGCTTGGGTGGGCTAGTCTACAAATGTCAATGGCATCCTGTTAATTGACAATATTTTTGAATTCTTCTATATCCGTGCTGATTTTCTATTTAGCTATTCTATCAATTATCGAGAGAGAACTGTTGAAGCCAGTTTTATTAGTTTGCTTTGCACATTTTGCATCTCTCTTATTTGGCGCATACACATTTAGGATTGCTATATCTTCTTGATGATTGACCCTTTATCATTATGTAATGTCTCCTGTAATTTTCTCTGCTCTGAAGTTATATGATATTAATATAACCACACCTTCATTTGATTAGTATTTATTTGCATGATGTATCTTTTTTCATCCTTTTGTGTTCAACCTGCCTATATCATTCTATTTGAGATAAGCTTCTACTAGACAGCCTATATTTGGGTCTGTTTTTAAATCTACTCTGTCAGTCTCTGTTTTGTTTTGTTTTTGACTGATGTATTTATAGCATTTACATTTAATGTAATTGTTGATGAGGTCTGGCATTTTTCCTGTGGGTTACTTTGAAAAATTTTTAGGATTCAATTTTGATTGATCTATAGTATTTTTACGTGTATCTCTTTATGCATATTTTTATTGGTTGCTGTTGGTATCATATGTACATAATTTATCACATTCTATTGCTGTCACTTTAGCAGTTCAAGTGAAGTACAGAAATATCACATCTCTTTATCCTTTCCTGTTTATAATTACCTTAATTATTTCATCTACATACATTTAGAACAATATCAGGCAATGTTATGGTTTTTGTTTCAACCATCAAACATAATTTAGAAAATTCAAGAAGAGGGGCTCAGATGGTTAAGCGTCTGACACTTGGTTTTAGCTCAGGTCATGATTTCACGGTTTGTGAGTTCAAGCCCCTCTTTGGGTTCTGTGCTGACAGTGCGGGGCTTGCTTGGGACTCTCTCTCTCCTTCTCTCTCTGCCCCTCTCCCACTCAAGCATGCATATGCTCTCTCTCAAAATGAATAAATTATTAAAAAAGAGAAAAGGAAATTCAAGAAGAAAAGGAGAGCTTATAGTATTTGCCCATGTTTCACTTACCATGTTATTTCATCCTTCCTAATGCTCCCATATTCTTTCAACACCGTCTTTCTGTTTCGAGAACTTCCTTTAGCCATCCTTTTAGGATAAGTCTGCTGCTGACAAATTATCTTCCTTTCCTTTTCCTTCATTTGAGAATGTTGGGGCCCCTTCTTCCCTGCTATTTGTGCTGGGTTCAGGATCTGGGTAACAGATCTCTTCTTTTAGCATCTAAATATATTTTGCAGCTTCCTTCTGACTCTGCTTTCTGAAGAGTAATCTTCTGTAATTCAAATGTTTTTTCTCTGGCTGCTTTCTTGATTTTTGTGTGTGTATGTTTTCAATTTTCAGAAGTTTAATCATGATGCACTGTGGATCTGGGGAGTTACCCTATTCGTATTTCACTTAGCTTTGTGAACACACAGGTTTATATCTTTTGCTGTGTTTGGGAGTTTTCAGCCCTGTCCTCTTTCTTCTCTCCTTCCAGAACTCTGATGGCACAGATGTTACATCTCCGTTAGTCCCCAGGTCCCTGAGGCACTGAACATCTTTTTCCTACTGTTCAGATCACGTAATTTCTATTATTTTTTCTTCCATGTCACTGATTTCTTTCCTCTGTCCCCTCCTTTATGCAGCTGAATCCATTCATTGAGCTTTTTATGTTCATTATTGTATTTTTTATATTTCCATTGGTTCTTCTTTGTATCTTCTGTTTCTTTCCTTAAACTTTCTTTTTGTTGAGACTATTTTTTTCTTTGTTTCACAGGTTTATGATTGCTCCCTCAAGCATTTTTATCACAACTGCCTTAAAATCTCTGATTCCAACAGCCTTATCACTTTGATATTGGCACCCTTTGATTGCCTTGTTTTAATTCATTTTGAAATCTTCCTGGTTCTTGACTAAAATACATGATTATCAGTTGAAACCTGGACATTTTCCTATCATTTAATCCTTCAGTTTTAGCTGGCTTTTTTTTTATTCCACCCCAGCAGCAGAAGGGGGTGGGCCCCACCTCTTTTCTGCCAGGTGGGGGAGAAGTCTGGGCTCCCCACATCGTCTGGAGCCCGCTCTTTGTGGGGCATCTGTCGCATGTTCTCAGAGCATGCTGTGTGGGAGCCTCCCTCCCCTGCCTCTCCTCCCCGCAGGCACACATCCGGAGGGCACTGTGATCATGTGTGTGCAGTTCAGCCCACACTTTCTCACATCTGGGACTCCAGAGACTAAATGTGGATGGTTTCTTTCAACGACTTCTGGAAAGGATTCACTTCTTGCTCATTTCAAGGACATGTCTATACTTCCCAGGTGAGGGTGGCATTTATTCTGTGGGGACGGTCGCTTCTCTGTCTTCAGGCCCCGGCGGCTGGGGTCCCAGGCCCATGGACCGTGGGCAATTAGCAACCTAACGTCACTGTGTCTTACTGACCTGAAATCCCCAAGTTGTGAATGAGAACAGCATACGAAAGACACACAGATTTGGTCCATGAAAAAATTATGAGTCCAAGCTAAAATGGTGCTACTCCATCTGAATCTTTGGGGGCTCATTTTGCTAACAAACGAAATCATGTTAAAATCAGTCAGAACAACTGAAAAGAGCACTTTTCATTATTCTTCTTCCAAATGAAACAGTCAAATTTGGCCACAAATGTCCCCTCAGAGGGAAAACCTAGAGGGGACAGCAAATGAAATCCTAGGTCCTTGGGTACAATACCTGTTATTTTAATCAGGCTTTGACTTGGATATTTGTGAAAAGTCTTCTGTGGTACATTTGTCTCATGGCAGCGGTAGGTACCCCGGTGAGCAGATGTCACGGCCCCAGCTACATAAACCGCCAAGGTCTCCTGCCTCTGGTCCTGCGTCAGGGTGTTCAGGGGGCCTGCAGCCCTCTGGGCGGTCAGGCCGCCTTGGCAGGTCAGCTCACTCAGAAACTCGGCCCTGGGACAGGCGGCAGGAATCTACGGCCCGGTAATTCCAACGTGCTGTCAGCCCACGCGTGCCCCGGACATCACCGGGGTCCTAAAGCCAAAGGCACAGTCCACCAGGAGCCCCCGCTGGGTCAGAATCTGCATTTCAACAAGGTGCCAGGGGCCAGAGCAGACAAGGACTCGGCCAAGGGCATCCGGAGAGGAGGGGTGGCGAGGTGAGGAGGCATCTGATAGCCACTGTGTTTGGATAGCAAGGCGTGATCACGCCCCGGTTCTTTCCCCTGAGACTTGACCTTCAGGGGAGGAGACTATAAAACCCACAGGCCACCTTTCTCCCCTCAGGCCAGGTGTGGGGAGCTCCCTGATCCGCAGGGGCGATGGCGGCGCTGCAGGAGAAGAAGTCATGCAGCCAGCGGATGGAGGAGTTTCAGCGCTACTGCTGGAACCCGGACACAGGGCAGATGCTGGGCCGGACGCTGTCGCGGTGGGGTGTGTGCCCACGGGGACGGGGACATGGTGGGGTGGGGGGTGTGCCCGCGGGGATGGGGACGTGGTGGGGTGGGGGGTGTGCCCGCGGGGACGGGGACGCTGTGCCGCCCAGGCACCCAGGACCCAGGAGGCTGCCTGTCTCCAACCAGATAACCCAAAGGCCCATTTTGGCTCCAACGCCCCCCTGACAAAGTGGGATCATCTGAGAGCTGGCCGCAAAGGTTCAGCCACAGACTTGAGAACAGCATTTTTAAAGCTATGCTCCTAAAACTTAACGATTTTTATTTTTTTATTTAAAAAACTTTTTTTCATGTTTATTTATTTATTCTGAGAGTGAGACATAGCACAAGTGGGGAGGGGCAGAGAGAGGGAGACACAGAATCCAAACAGGCTCTGCGCTCTGAGCTGCCAGCACAGAGCTTGACGGACAGTTCGAACCCACGAACCGTGAGATCATGACCTGAGATGAAACTAAGCCAGATGCTTAACTGACTGAGCCACCCAAGCGCCCCAAAGTTATGATTTTTAAAGACTGTTAAGGGGTACGGAGCACCTCTTGGGTGAGGAGAACGTTCTAGAACCTGACAGACGTGATGGTTACACAGCACTGTGTGTGAATGCACTGTGAACACCACTGCCTTGTGCACTGAGGTGGTTAAACCTGCGGCTTTACACTGCACACCCCCCTCCCTGCAGTATGGATCAGCCTCTACTACGTGGCCTTCTACGTGGTGATGACCGCAATCTTTGCTCTGTGCATTTACACACTCATGTGCACAATCGACCCGTACACACCTGACTACCAAGACCAGCTAAAGTCACCAGGTAAGTGGGGCTCATGCCCGGACCCCAGGACCCAGTGCGTCAGGCCACATGCAGTCCGGGAGCCCCGGGCTCAGAACACAGACCCTCAGGAACAAAGCCCAGAGAGGCAATCAGGAGGGGCCACTCATGCCAGGGCCCAGGGCTCTGAGGGGGACACCCTCCCATCCCCGCTGGGGCCTCAGGGCTCAGAAGGGGGACACCCTCCCACCAGGGCCCCAGGACTCTAAAGGGGCCCCCCCAGGCATGGATAGCCTCTCAGCTTCTTTTGAGGACAGTGGCTCCAGGTTATGGTCAGACTTTGGCTGTCGTTTTAATTGTTAAAACAGATTTGTTACAGGGACCATGTTCACATCGCTCACTTTAGATGCCGACAAAGGTGCACAGGGCCCGTCTGGGAGAAGGCACCGAGCAGGGAGGCTGAGGCCAGAGGAAAGGGCTTGGTGGGAGGAAAGGGCTTTTGTCTTGCACTGGACGCACGTCTGCACCGAGGCCTCTCCTGTTACCACGTCCACAAACACGAGCTCGGTTCAGAACACACTGTTCTCTAAGAGCAGCTGGTCTGCCGTCCCGTGTGGGGAAGGACGCTTGGAACAAAGGCCGAGCCCGGTGTCCGGAGTCACCTCTGGACCTAGCCCAGCTGCCTGCACAGACCAAACGAGAAAGGGCAGGGGGAGAGAGGGGAAGAAGAAGTGAAGGAGGAAAACGCACTTTCCAGCACAACTATGGAGATGCTCACCACTCGTGGGTGGCGTCCCTACACTTCCCACGGAAGCAATAGCCCGAGAAATGCCCAGTGGCCACACCGCTTACTGTGGGAGGAAAGGAAAACCCAGCAGTGAGAGCCAGGGGGCGTGTGTTCCCCCAGGCAGGCCCCTCCACCCCAGGGGTCTTCGGGAAATCCCTTCACCCGGCATCACAACACCACAGTGCTCTACTGGGCGTTGTTTTTAGAGCCAGGCAACAGGTAAGCTCACGGTGGCCGCAGAACAGAGCGTGATGCGTGGCACACGTGCTTCCCCCGGAGCCCGGGGGGTGGGGGGGAGCAGCCACCACTGACACGCACAAACAGGCTGAGAGCGCCAGCAGAGAGGACCCTGTGCGGTGTGCCCACGCTCCCCTGGGTCAGATCCTCGCCAGGGTTTGACCTGAATCTGCACACAGACGTTGCGCCCACAGCATCCACGAAAGGACAGAACACCGGCTGACGTATCTAAAAAGTCCCCACGTCAAAGGAGCCAGCTTCATTCACACAGGGAAACAGCACGTGGTATCTGTGGACAGTTCGATGACGACACACTTACAACAGCATCGGGACACGGAAGGAGGAGAGTGGAATCTGGGTGGTGGGACCCCATTTATCCAATTTATGGCACACACAGGGTCGCGCGTCTGACGCTCACAGAAGTGAGGACGCCCAGCACACAGGCAACCACTGCCACTCCCTACACCTGTGCATCCTGACTTTTTGTACAATTAACATGTTGTCAATTGCTTTTAATCAAAACCAGTGAAGATTTTTCAAATGTGTATTCAAATACAACTCCGCCTAGCGTGGTTCCGACAAGTCGGGCAGGGCCCCTGTGGAGCCACTGTTGCGGAGGACACGCAGACACTGTCCCCTCGCACGGGGGCCCCTGAGGACTGCAGCAACCCATGCTTGGCCACCGGGCCAGACAGCGGTGTGTGGGAGTCTGCAGCACGTGGCTGGGTGTGACCAACACCTTGGGGGGAACTGAGTCACACGCGTCCTGCTCTCTTCCCAGGGGTGACCTTGAGGCCAGATGTCTACGGGGACAAGGGCCTGGACATTTCCTACAATGTTTCCGACAACAGGACCTGGGTGGACCTCGTGCACACCCTCCACACCTTCCTGGCAGGTGAAGTTTAACAAGCTTCCAGCCTCTGCTTTTCCCGCTTCCAAGACAATTTCGTGGAGGGGCCTGGGCTATGCCCCCCTCCAGCCAGCCCCAGTGCACGTGTCCCCGCAGGCTACTCGCCAGAGTCCCAGCAGGACAGCATCAACTGCACCTTTAAGGAGTACTTCTTCCAGGAAAAGTTCATGGCCCCCAACCACACCAAGTTCTCCTGCAAGTTCACAGCAGACATGCTGCAAAATTGCTCAGGGCTGGTGGACCCCAACTTCGGCTTCGCAGAAGGAAGGCCGTGCTTTGTGATTAAAATGAACAGGGTGAGTCCTGAGGGCCCCTGTGGAGATGGCCGTGGCATGGAGGCCGGGGGTCTGGCCCTCACGTGACCCACGTGCCCCTGTCCACGGTGGCGGGGCTGGGACGCGCACCGCTGCCCCCTCCCGCTCTGTTCCTATGCTCAGCGTGCCCTGAGCTTCCCCCCCAATACGACCTGAAAACAGCTCACACAGCAGCAGCACCTCGACACTGGGCAGCAGAGTCCAGCTCGTGTGCACAACAGCTCGACAGCAGCCGGGCCACATACAGGTGCTGGGAGGGCACCCGGACACAATCCAGAGCAGAGGTTTTCAATATGGGCCAGGGACCCTCTGCCAGGCATGAGGGAGGCTGGACAGGCCAGTGTGAGAGCCGAAGGAGAGCACAGCCCATGCAGCCTCGGTGCAGGGGACGGGAACATCCCACCAGAGGCTGACGGTGGCGGGAGGGCCAGGGGTGTCTGCTCCATACTGGGCGACAGGTGCGGTCTGGGGACTCCCCACACCTGCCGAGTGCTATTTATCTCCCTTCCCGAGAGACGGGGAGGCCACGAGTGTGTGCCCTGCACACGCTCCTGGGTCCCTGCTGGGTCTCGTCACCGCCTGGCAGGGGAAGGGCGTGCAGGGAGGGCAGTACTGCCCTGGGCACCAGGCACAAGGAGGTACATCCAAAGGCCGAGACCCCAGGAGGCTGAAAGAGCATGACATGGGAGCAGCACAGGTGAGCTGCGGGCGGCGGGGGCAGCTGCCGCGCCCGCTCCAGGGCCCCACGGAGCACCAGGGAGTGGCTCTGCGGGCGGTGACAATGGAGCCCCAGGCCGGACAGGCCCTTCACACACACAGCCGGCAGGAGAGCTACAAGGATGCCCTTCCCTTCCAGATCGTCAAGTTCCTCCCCAGCAACAGCACGGCGCCCAGGGTGGACTGCGCCTTCCTGGTGAGTGCGCGGCCGCGGCGGTGGAGCCACTTCTCCCCAAGCTCCTCTCAGCCGCCAGCCCAACCGTCCGGATTCACAGTCGCACCAACCGTCACAAACCATCACTTAGAGCAGCTTCATTAAGGGCACAAAAACCGAGTAAGAAAAACAGTGTATCGTTGTTACTGTTCTGCTTCCAGAAGCGTCTGGAACAGTACGTTACTAACGCGCTTCAAAGTATTTGGTGGCAGTTTAGAAAAAACCGAGGTACCTTTTTACGGTTTTTTTCTCTTATTTACTTACACGTATGCCAGGTGACCAACAGCCATGGATGTTTAACAGCATACGTGTTCGGGCTCCTAAGAGTTGGCATGAATTCACTCCAGTTTTTCTAAAAACCAGCTTTTTAAAAATTTTTTCATTTACCTATTTTGAGAGAGAGAGAGAGAGAGCGCGCGCACGCACACAGGGGAGGGGCAGAGAGAGAGGGAGAATCCCAAGCAGGCTCCACACTGTCAGCACAGAGCCCGAAGCAGGGTTCCATGTCACAAACTATGAGACCACGACCTGAGCCAAAATCAAGAGTCAGACGCTTAACTGGCTGAGCACCCCCCTCCCCGCCTCCCGCTGCAAAACCAGTTTTCAAGCACAAAAAAACAGACTGCTTCCGTTCATCATTATTTTCTAAAGCTTGTTTCCCTGGCGGCTGCGACAGGAGGCTCCCTTAGGGCAGCGCCTACCTCCAGGGCCTGTCTCTTGTGGGCGAGTCCCTGGCTCGCTCTGGGCCCTCCTGTAGTCACTCGACCACACATGTAGGCCAACCTGAGCTTTAACAGACACCAAAGTGTTCTCCATCTGTGTTCTGACGAAATCCAGCCACCCACCAGGCAGTTCGCAGACTCTGACAATGACGAGAAACGAGAAAGCAGTGCTTACCCCAGACTGTCACGCAAACTTTTGGCCAGTTTTGGCAAAACCGGCCCACCCAGCCTCTCGGCTTTCACTCCCGTATACGGACAGACCAGCACATTCTTCACTCTGATAGGTCACCAAAGTGACCTTAGTTTGGCAAACTAATAGGTTATGTGCCCAATGGGATCTCAGTACTGATCCTAAAGACCAGATCTGGTCTCTGGTAACTGCACATGAACTGTTAGCGTGCACACACACACAGACAACCAGGCAGGACACACACAAGCTGCACGCACATGTACCCAGCTCCTGCCTCACCCAGGTGGTGGCCTCTCTGTCCCCAGGACCAGCAAAAGGATGCCCAGCCCCTGCAGGTGGAGTACTTCCCACCCAACGGCACCTTCAGCCTCCACTACTTCCCTTACTACGGGAGCAAAGCACAGGTAGGCCTGCCACCAGCCGCAGAACCGTCTCAAAGTTAGCAACGTGCTCGGTGTGAGGACAGCCGTCAACATTCACCTGCACTGCAAACCAGGCTGCCTCAGCCCATCCTGACCACACAGCTCTCTGGGCACTTCCCAAACCCACCACCCGTAACTACCGGAAAGCACAAGGCTCTCACACAAAACATAAATATCAAACCTAATTCTTCTACCTTCCGAGCACTTCCCAAATCCTGTTGGGACACCACATATCCATTTTGAAGCACTTCCTCCAAGTCTCTTAATTTTTCCTGTTTTAAACTAATTTTCATCAAGTACAATTTGAGGCCAACTTTGTCACTGGTGCTGTCTCACCCCCCAGACCGACTCTCCTCGTTCCTACATGGAGAGAGACCCCTCTGTCCCTGTGAGTTCTGGCACACAGCAGAGCGTGTGAGGGCAGCCATGCTCAGATAGGGCAGGCGGGCACTGCCTCCAAGCAGCCCGCCCAGATGTCTGCCACAGTTTCTAACTCTCGCTTCCTCCCGTCTTCCCACATTGTTCCAGCCCCACTACAGCAACCCTCTGGTCGCTGTAAAACTTCTCAACGTCCCCAGAAACACGGAGGTCCTCATCGTGTGCAAGATCCTGGCCGATCATGTAACATTTGACAACCCCCACGATCCCTACGAGGGGAAGGTGGAGTTCAAGCTCAAAATCCAGCAGTAGAGAGCAGGGCGCCCGGCCGCCAAGCACTGGAAACCAGCCCAGAGCCGCAGGCCGTGACCTGTAAGCACTTAGCACTGGAGTTGACGGCTTCTCGCTAAGTCTTCTCTGCTCCTTGACACAGAATTCGTAGTGAGGATCAAAACGCTGGGCCAACACGATGACCCCGAGGCAGTGGTTACCCACTAACGAGACCCAGATACTCGCCCCAGGCGAACTTCTCTCTCCTTACTGTGCCTCAGCTTCCCTGACCTCTGCGATCTCCTGGGACCCGCGTCAGCAAGAAACACGCCTCACGAGGACGGATGATCGGAAGGCTTGCTTTTAAAGACACAATTCCTACCCTGTACAAATAAAGCACATTAAAGTCACACTTTGCTCTACATACAACAGTCACGTCTTTCCTGATAAGGGGAAAAATAACAAAAAAGTCACTTTTTCTTTAAGAAGCCTCTTCTTAAAGTTTCAATCCCAAGTCAGGGAAATCAGACTATGCTGGGGAGCCAGAGCTCTGGCTGGTAAGGAGGGGTGGCGAGCAGGTGGCGGGTGGGGCAGAGCAAACCCCAGAGGGAGTCAGGGCGCTGCGGTCGCCAAGGGGCACGCCTCCGCCTCTGCCAGCTGCTCTAGAAAAACCTGGAGCATTGTGGCCAAACAAGCCCCCTGTCCCAGAGCAACCCCGCCTCCCACCCTAGTATCGCATGCGACCTGGTGTCTTACTCCCATGCAAGCACCCCACACGTTGTCTGGGGGTCCCGCCCACACACAGCAGGCAAAGGGCGCCAGAACTCAGTGGCCCCCTGGCCCTCAGGGCAGTTGAGGGAAGTCATGACCGGCCAGAGCAGGCAGGTGGCCACATCCACCCACGGGACTGTGGGCTGCCTTGCAAGGCCTGTGGCTTCAAAACACTGGTGGGTTTTCTCAGCTGGTTCAAGTTAAGATGGTGAACTGTCCTTTCTTCTCTGACGATCTTTTTTTTTTTTTTAATTTTTTTTTTTTTTCAACGTTTATTTATTTTTGGGACAGAGAGAGACAGAGCATGAACGGGCGAGGGGCAGAGAGAGAGGGAGACACAGAATCGGAAACAGGCTCCAGGCTCTGAGCCATCAGCCCAGAGCCTGACACGGGGCTCGAACTCACGGACCGCGAGATCGTGACCTGGCTGAAGTCGGACGCTTAACCGACTGCGCCACCCAGGCGCCCCTCTTCTCTGACGATCTTATTCTTTCTGAGACTCAACAGCCCACAACCTGTCCCAGCTCTGAGGACGCAGGAGGAGGGTGAGGGGTGCTCTGTGCGCGGCCCGGTGACTGTCCTCGCTCAGCGAGAAGACACACGCTGCAGCTTCCGCACAATAATCGTGAATTAGAGGAACACGGAGCTGGTTTAAAATGCCCATGCGCGTTTTATTAATAAAAACTAACAGTGCCGAGTTAAACAAGTCAAACAATTAAAGTCTCTTTATATTCCATAAAATATTACAGAAAAGTTTATTTGTGTTTCAATAAAAAGACTATTGTTGTAGAACAGGCAGCTAACAGCAACTGTGCGGTTAATGGTTCTTTGTGAATAAATTTTAAAAGGGACTACTGCCTGTCCTGAAATTCCGTTTCTTTTTATAAAAAAAGAACTATTAAAAATGATTGACAAATTTTGAGTTAAAAAACTGTTAGAACATTCTCTATATTTAATGTCAACTTTATCGTAGATTATAGGAAGATGCTCACGAAACAAATACGACGTTTGTTTCCGTTTGCGTCTTTAGACGACAGACGTGTAGGTGTGTAAACAACTATATAGTAAAGTCTGCAGACGCTGCCTGTGAGAAATCAGGCAGGCCTCACCGCAAGCCGCACGCCGCTCCAAGCCCTCCAGTTTTCGTAGCTGCACCAGCACGGCAGTGAACTTTTACCAAACAAAACAAAAACAAATAAAGAACTTCGCAATTTGCTGCAACATAGAGGAAAAAAAAAATGAACGAACTTGATGGAGTCACACAGTCAATATAATTTAAGGGAAAATAAAGTCCTAATACAATTCGTGGCCCAAGGCTGAAGAGCAGGGCTCGGCCGGCACCGTCCGCGGCTGCCGGCAGGCTGTGGGAGGAGGCACACTCAGCAAGAACCAAGGGGCAAAGTGAACTCTGAGCTACAGACAGACAACGCAAACAAGATCCTGGACAGCGGAGAGAGGCCCTGCGTCGTGGCCGGCGCCCCAGCGCGCCCCAAGCCCCCGCGGAACGCAGCCCTCGCCCGCTCTGGCGTCTCCTCGGGAGGGGCCAAGGAGGAACCCAGCCCACACCAAAAGCAGTCTCTCCCGACGCGGACTGTCAGGGCCGGCCGCGGGTGTCAGTCCTCCTCCTCATTCTCATTGAAGTCGTCGTCCTCCTCCTCGTCCTCCCCGACGTACGACACGGGGGTCTCCACCCGGGAGCCGCTGTACTGGGACCCGCTGGAGCTCGTGGCCAGCACGCCATCCGCACCATTGGTCAGGTCGCTGCGGGAACGAGGAGACAAGGCGGTCAGCAGCACGCAGCCCGAGTGGGGTGCCCCCACGTCCACTCCCGCCGAGGTGGCACTTCACCCCAAGCCCCTCCTCAAGACACAGATCACCGCACACGAGGCAACGCCGGCAGGGCCACAATATCTGTCATGACATCACAAACCAAGCCCCGATGGGCATAAACTGGAAACCACAGGTCCTTCTTCCAGGCCTTGTACTTGTGACCTCCTGGATCTCCAGGAGGGAGGGGACAACAGGTGAGGAAAAAGGGGCCCCAAAAAGGACATGGAGCCCTCCAAAGCAAGGCATTCCAGATGGCAGCGCACAGGGGTGCCCAGCGAGTTGTGTGTGCATGTGTTATGTACATGGCTATGTATGTGTGTGCACATGTATGCACATGTGTGACTGTATGTGGTTGTATATGCATGTGCATAGTTGTGTGTGCACATTTATGTACGTATGTGGTTGTGCGTGGTTGTATATGCACATTGTGTGTGCATGCATGCGTGTGGTTGTGTGCACATGTATACATATATGTGGTTGTATATGCACGTGTGTAGTCATGTGCACGTGTGGTCGCATGCGTGCATGTGTACTGCCTTGCGATGGTATATACATGCACTTGTGTGTGCGTGCGTGTGTAAAGGACACCCCAGGCCCACACTCCACTGCCACCACCACCACCCTCTGCCCTGTACCGTGTGGAGCCCTGGGAGCAGAGCTGTAATAGGAGTCTCACACACTCTGCAAGCTGAACTTCCAGGAACAGCCCCCAGGACCCCACACATTCTACCATTTCAGGACATGGCACTTTCTGAAGGCCAGTGGGGTCGGCAGGGCAGGGAGCAGGGGCGCAGAGAGGTGGAGTCACAGGGCTGGGTGCTGGAGGGAAGCAGGGCTGCTCAGACGTGCGTCTGGAACCCATCTATGTTGGCACTGGGCCCTGAGAGTCTCAGCAGGGGACACGTAATCATCTCTGGCTGTCACATGGGGTGTGAGGGGGGTGACTATTGGCACCTGGGCCCAAGGGTGCCACCAAACACATCAACAAGGCACCGGGCAGCATGCAGGACAGTCATCTAGCCCCAAATGGCACCAGTGCCTCAGGCAAGACCCTGGCCTAGAACAGAGAGATTTTAAAAACTGGGGTCCTGAGGAAACACTTCTGGGTTCAGGCGGCCCCTGGCACAGAGTGGGTCAGACACAAGGCAGCAGACACGGTCCTGGGGCCCCGAAAAGTGACTGCCCACACCCACTAAGAGGTGCACACACCCGTGTGACCTGCTCAGACACTTGTTGTCAAAAGTCACTGTGATTCCTTGGTATTTGGGTCTAGCAACAAGAAAAGTATCCTAAGAGACATCAGACACTAAAGGGATTCCAGCCTGCAACGCAGAGCTGCACAGAGATCCCCCAGATTCTGGCCGGTCACCTCCCGCAAGCATGCGGGACTCAGGTACCCCTCCGCCACCAGCCTAGAAGGCCTGCAGCTGCCTTGAGAGCACAGGACGTGGGGGCAGAGCTGTGCAGGACACGCGTTTTAGGCAAGGAACGACTGCCAAGGGTGGCTCTGGTGGGCCAGCGTGGACGGGGCCCTGAGGGCACTGCCCCCACCTCTGCCCCAGGCCAGAGCTGGGGCACGGCGATGCTTTTCTCTAACGCGCAAGCAGACATGCCCCTCGCTAGTTAGGATTTGTTCGCACGGTGCGATGAGGACCATTCATCATTATGCTCTTTGACAAAGGAACCCCACAACTGGGAAACCCAGCCTCGCAAACATCAGAAAAGGCCAAAAATTTAGCCCTAAAGCTGCTTCAAACTGCAGCCTCTTTTCTAAGTGGGAACCACCCAACTGCCCAGCAAATTACTGCGCTTTTGTAAACGTCAGGCTGGTGTTTACGTTGGTTTTTCTTCTGAAATGGTAATGGCTTTGCTTCCCTCATGTAAAAGCTGATGTGAGTCTCTGAAACTTTAATCAGTAAAAACAATTTCACGAACATGAAAAGCTAAAAAATACCCAAATTCTGCCTCTTGCAATAACTGGTTATCAGCATCACACAGACTACTGCACACACGCACACACATGCACACACGCACATGCACATAGGCAGAGGGAGGGAGCTGACCTCCACCTAACCCTGACCGGGGCCAGACACCCCACCAAAGACTTCAGTGCAGGTGCCACAGAACCCAGGAGTTGCGTGATGGCCACAGAAAGCTACACTGTCCTTTATCAGATCAGATCCATCCCACTTGGTTGAACCTACAGACTGCTTGTCTACCTTATATTTTAAAAAATTTAACATTTATCATTATGTAGGACTGACAGAAGGTAATCTGGGTAACGTGTAACCTAATATACCATGAAAGTTAATAAAACCCTGTTTTGTCAATACTTAGAGAAAAAATTACATTAATCTTTAAAAACCTAAGATAAATACCCAGGAACAACATAATTCTGTTCCGTGGGACGGCTGGACCAAAGACTAACACCCAATGGTTTA